ACCTTTTCTTCCACTGTAGTAGGAGATTGTTTACCAGAGAGCCTGAAATGTGGAGCCAATGGAGTCACCACCGACTTTGCACCTTGCAACCCGAACCTAGCAATAACCCGCTCAATGTAGCCTTTCTGACTCAAGAACATTTGCCGGTTCGTCCTATCTCTTCTAATCTCCATACCCAGTATTTTCCTAGCAGCCCCCATATCTTTCATCTCAAACTCTTTACCAAGTTGAGATTTCAACCTATCTATCTCCACCTTGCTTTTCGAAGCGATAAGCATGTCATCCACATACAATAGAAGATAGATATAGTTACCTCCCCAAAGTTTCCGAATATAAACACAACAGTCATACTCACTTCTGGAAAAATCATGCTTTAGCATGAAGGAGTCAAATCGCTTGTACCACTGTCAAGGAGATTGCTTCAATCCATATAGTGATTTTCTCAAGCGACATACCTGACGTTCCTTATCCTCAACCTTGTAGCCTTCTGGTTGATGCATATAGATCTCCTCATCCAAGTCCCCGTGCAAGAAGGCAGTTTTGACATCGAGTTGTTCCAGCTCAAGATCATGATGAGCAACAATACTCAATAACATCCGAATGGAAGTGTGCTTGACCATCGGAGAGAAGATCTCATTGTAGTCAACTCCCTCTCTTTGTGCAAACCCCTTAGCCACTAACCTTGCTTTGAATCTTGTACCTCCGAACTTGGTAGGATTTTCCTTCTTTTTATACAATCACTTGCAACCAATAGCTTTCTTACCTATGGGCAATGGGACAACCTCCCATGTTTGGTTCTTGTGAAGTGATTCCATCTCTTCTTCCATTGCTGCCAACCAACTCTAACTATTGTTGTTTAAAATAGCTTCCTTGAAAGTGGTAGGTCATCATCCTCCACCCAGAGTACATACTCAACCAAATTTGTCTGCCCATAGTGCTTCAAAGGCTCGTCTGACCCCAACTTTAGAACTTACTTGTAAGTACGGCGTGGCCTAGAGGAAGCCAAGTTATCTGCAAGTTGCTTTTGTTGCTGTGCCTGTACATTCTCTTGCTGAACCGCTTCTTGTTCAAGCCCATCATCACTTTCATCTTGAGTGTCTGTATGATGCTCCTCTTGAACATGCCTAGAATCAGGTTGATCTCTAGGTTCTATGTCAACAACTTGAGACATTGTAGTCTCAACATCATCACCACCGGGCACTGTTGCTTTCAACGAAGCTATCATGGAGTTCTCATCAAAAGTAACATCTTTGCTGATTATGAACTTAGAATCCTCTACACACCAAAGGCGATAGCCTTTAACACCAGCTGCATACCCCAAGAATATAACCTTCTTGGCCCTCGCATCAAGCTTTCCCTCGTTGACATGATAGTAGGCTATGCATCTGAATGTTCTGAGTTTCTCATAATCTGCATGTTCTCCTGTCAATACCCTGTAAGGTACATCTCCATCTAACCTTGAATATAGAGACCGGTTTACTATGTAGCAAGCATTTGCAGCCGACTTTGCCCACCATTCTCTGCCCAAACCAGCATAGGATCGCATACACATCGATTTCTCTCGAAATGTGCGATTCAGTCTTTCCGCGACCCCATTCTGTTGTGGTGTATTTCTAACTGTCCAGTGTCTCACAATGCCTTCCTTACCACAGAACTCCTTGAAAGCACCATCTGTATACTCAGTACCGTTATCAGATCGCAGTGTCTTCAATTTCTTTCCTGTTCTGTTTTCAACAATTGCTTTCCACTTCTTGAAAGTGTCGAATACCTCATTCTTATGCTTCAAAAAATAAATCCTAGCATATCTAGAATAATCATCAACAAATGTAACAAAATACCTGGAACCGCCTTTGGAAGTGACGGAAGTCGGACCCCATACATCCGTGTGCACATAGTCAAGAATGCCTCTGCTTCTATGTTTGCTTGGCTGGAACTGAACTCGGTGTGTTTTACCTTACACGCAACGCTTGCAAAAATCCATGCAAGGCTTCTTCAAGTTCTTTAGCAGACCTTTCTTGACTAGCAAATCTAGCCCCTTTTCAGACATATGCCCAAGCCTCCTATGCCATAGCCGAGTACACTCACATGGGTCTCCACCACTTCCACTTGTTCCAACTGCTACATCTTTTGTAACTGTAGTTTGCCTTCACAAATACCCTTCATCACAATCAAAGAACCACGAACAACCTTCTTTACTCCATTCCATGTTACAATCTTGCAACCACCGGAGTCTAAGGCACCAACAGAGATAAAGTTCTTTCGCAAATCAGGAACATGTCTAACATCCATCAATATTCTAACCACTCCATCATGCATCTTGATTCTAATTGAACCGAGCCCCACCGTTTTACAGGAATGGTTTTTACCTATCAACACGGTTCCACCATCAGTGCTTCTATAGGTAGTAAACCATTTCCTATTTGGACACATATGGTAAGAGCATCCAGAGTAAAAAATCCACTTACCGGAGGTTTCTTCATCACAAGAGATGGTGTAGCACTCATCGCTTTCCCCTCCTTCTGAGGCATAGCTTACCTCTTGCTTGATTTGCACCTTCCCATTGTTGTTGTTCTTATTGTTCTTCTTCCAACCCTTTTTGTTAGGACAATTCGCCTTGAAATGCCCAAGCTCGCCTCATTTGAAACAAGACCTTTCCACAAGAGGTCTAGAGCTCGATCTAGATTTTTCTCCCTTGCCCTTTGGTCACACATTGCTTCTACCCCTTACAAACAATCCTTGAGCTTACTCCTTGTTACCAATGGTAGACGTGCCACTAGTTGTAATCTTTTGAAGATCATCCGCTAGAAGTGATGTTCTAGTGTCCTCCATCACAAGTTTATCACCCACAAGCAGCAATGTTTGTACAAGGTTCTCGTAAGACTTTGGCAATGAGAGAAGTAGTAGAAGTGCTTGATCCTCATCATCTACTTCCACATCAATGTCCTTCAAGTTCGATATGATCCTATCAAACTTGTTGACGTACTCCCGGATTGGTGTACCTTCATCCATCTTGCTAGTATACAATTTGGACTTCAAATAGATCCGATTTGTTAGAGTCTTCATCATGAAGTTCGCCTCCAACTTTGTCCACACCTCCGCCGTCGTTACCTCACTATCAACAAAGAAAGCAACATCTCTTTCAAAGCAAAGAATGATAGACGCTCGTGCCTCAAGATCTAGCTCTTCCCAATCCTCGTCCGACATATCAACGTGCTTCTTCTCCTTTCCCGCCAATGCCTTGTGCAACTTTTGAGAAATCAACAAATTTTTCATTTGCATTCTCCAATATGAAAAATCATTCTTCCTATTGAATTTCGCTATCTCATACTTTCCAATCTTCACCATTCCTCTAGTAAACATGATTTATCCACTTGTTTACCAAAAATAAACCACCAAAGTTCACTTGGAAATTTTCACAAACACCTTGTGTGCACAACAAAGTTCAAGCAACTCACCAAAATCGAAGCTTAACCACCTTGATTTAGGAAGAAGTTCTGATACTAAATTGTTGGGAAAACACCTCTCAAAGATTGCCCAAAGATCAAACAAAGTTGACAATGTGAAAAATTCCAAACCACTTGAAGAACAAGAAAATGGGGAAGAAATGATTTCAATTGAATAAATGAAGATCAATGTATTTGGATTACTTGAACAAGCCTCAAGTTAATCCCCAAGAAAGAAAATAACTTTGAATTTATATCCAAGATGAACAACCTCTATCTTGTAAAATTCTATCCAAGCTTTCTTTCAATTTTCTCTCTAAAATCGGGCTCAAGCACTTATCTTGAATGAAAGGGCAAAAACCGGAAGTATAAATAGGAACCGGGGCGCCTAGGCTAGGCGCCAACTTACTGCCCGCTATGGGCACTGGGCGCCCACACATGGCGCCTGGGCGCCCACTCCAGCGCCTAGGCACTGCGTCTTCTCAGCTTCTCTTCCTGCTTCTTCTCAGCTTCTCTTCTCACAGTTTCATAATTTACTACTAAGAGATCATAGATGAAAGAACAAATTGAGTTCCTATCTGTTTTTCAAGAATTATTGACCTAAGACGTGGGACTCTTCAAGAAAATTATATAATAAAAATGTTTGGAAGACAATCCTTGCATGTTTTCTCTGATAACATATATGTGATTTGTTCTTCAGCCATTGAGAGAGTCTTTCTCAGGTTCAAAGCATTAATTATATCATACTTATGATGCATATGTTCTTCTCTTTGAGATTTTCTTAGGATCCGTTTGGGAGTGGTTTTTAAGAATTGATTTTTTGACCGTTGGAGAAAAGTGAAGGCCACTTGTAAAAGAAGAAGTCAAAATTTATGACTGAAATAGTAAAATAACGATAAAAAAAATCAAGTTTTTGGGGGTGAAAAATCACTCCAAGTGCCTTAATTTAAAATATAAATTCAACCAATTTTGTTTCAACATAAGTTGGCAAGGATATCTTAGCTTTATGTATCGAACTGTTTGGTATCGAGTTCAACTCAGGAGATTACAAAAAACTCCAGGCAGTCCAGATGACATGTTTTTCAAAGATTTAAATCGCTGCCTAACGCCTAATTATGTCAAGACAAAGTCCAAGGTACATTTATTCAAGCTTCAATTTTTTCCCTTTATTTAAATCTTAATTTGGAACTTAGAGATCTTATTACAATATCTTAAATGAGTACAACTTGTAGGAATTTGAGGTATATAATTCCTTAGACGAGGCGTTTAAGTCCAATATGCAAAACTGCCATGGTTTTACACTTACAAGTAAGCAATCTAAAAGTTCAGATGTGGCCAATGCTCGAAGACGGCGGTTCCAAACTTCCATTCGTGGTGTTCTAAGGTCTGATGAAAGCAAATGCAACTACAAAAGGCTGATAAATCATAAACCTCTCTAATATTCAGGAATCGTCAGTACACTAGATAAGACTTTAGTAGAAATTTTTTTTTTTTTTTTTTAACTGTCCTGTCCAACCCACCAATTCTAGACTGGAAAGAATGTAAGCAAATGCAGGAATGAGCAAAAGGGATATTCATAATTCATTATCTATATTATTGTTAAAATCCCCAAAATAAACATAGGAAAGTCCCAACAGCAGGAAATAGCTTCCAAGCATCGAAACAATTCCAATTTCTCAGTACATTCCACCGTTAATTGCCATCCTGACAACCTGATAAACAACTGCAAAAAAAGAAGAAGAAAAAATGCAATCTTACCACGTTCGCTCGGTCGTTTGAATAAGCGTGTACTCCCAATAAATAACAAAGAGAAAAACTTACATGACAATACTACCAGAACTGCAAAGAGGACAAGAACAATGTGTGCAGGTTCCCATTCTTCTTTCTTAGATGATTGAGGAATCAGTCCTCTCCTTGTGATATTCTTCTCGAATTTCGCTGTTTTCTTCTCTGCCAGACGTTTCGAAGTAGTCTGCAAATCTTTCTTACGATCAAGATTTAATGGAGTAGGAAAACAAACTTGTGCAAATTGCTCCATAAACTTGGAGACGATAGGAGAATTTCTTGATTATCTTTAGTTCAATTCATCAGCGATCAAACCTTAATCTCAATTACGCAACAATGTTAAGCATAACAAAATCAGCTTAATTTCTATTACATAGCATTATTCTTAAGCAGAATTGGATCGAGAAGTCACAGAAACTGCTATTAATCTTTGTTATTTTTTTCATTCCCGGGGAATTTCCAGTTTTGTATATTTCTTGAAATAGTTAATTCACATTTAATGCAAAAACAATAGCATCAATCAAATTCGAATATTTGTGGTAATGTACAATTTAATTATATATTCCTTATTTCTGTGTCATAAATTGCGCATTAAAATAGGAAAGAAGAAACTGAATGGACTCTCAGAAATATCATCGAGAAGTCATCTTCTTCATCTATATTCACCAATTAATATATAAATTCATGTATCAAATTCTGTGGTCATGGAAGAAATGAAGACATAAACGGAATTGATTCTCTTACAAAGTGAAAAATTAAGTACAAAGTAAAAACAGAAAAACCAAGCAAAAAATCCCATATTCATTAGCGCATGCAAAAGGGAAATTAACGTGATAGAAAATTCATCGGTGAAACCGAAGAGTGAAAACGTCAATGGACATGTCGATGAAATTGGCTTGTGTGCGCGCGCGCGCGCGTGTGGGGGGGGGGGAGGGGGTGGGGAGAGAGAGAGAGGGGCCTTTACCATGATCTTTTCGGTCTGAGTCTGAAGTGCTAGCCGACTGGGGAGAGGAGAGGAGAGATATGAGAGACACTTATTACAGTACAGAAGAGTCAGAGCCCGTTTTGTAAGAACTCCGGAACCTAGGACTTCGAAACAACTTATTCCCAACGGGCGATGCTTTGTTTATTTTTACAATTATTCCGTGGGTTCAGAATAATGTTTGCAAGAAAAATTTCAGAAAAATATTACAAAAAATAAAATAAAATAAAATACACCCATCCCTCTCATTGTGTGTGCCCTGTATAACCTCAGTGAAGCCAATTCCTGTACGCCAAGTGCAATCCTTATTTTTAACATGTACGACCATTTTATTTAACCTTTCTTCTTTTAATTTTCCTTCTTTTTATGTTTTGACTTTTTTATCTTCCCATAGAAATGGCTCGAAGGGTATAGGTGTAAAAAAAAAGTTACAGAGATAGAGAGGCGAAAACCATGAAATGACTCAATGCTTGAAGCTTGAAAGATTTACTGTTTGACCCTCATTATGTGGAAAAATTAATGGGTGGAATAGTATTTTTTTTAAAAATGAGTGGTTGAAAAAAAATGAAAAGTTTTCGATTTACGTGTAATATTATTTTATGAAAAATTGTGTGATGAAAAATAGAAAAGAGAAAAATGAAATTTAATGTAATGGAGCTCAAGCAGGGGCTAATGTATGGTACAGGTTTTGTCATGAGTTAACACGCCTAAGAAAGCGAACGTGCTGAGTTAGATGGTAAAAGTCAAAATAATTCATCTTTTTATTTTCATTTTTAAGAGGATAACTAAAACGGGCTTGATAAATCAAGCGTGCGGATTTAAATGGTAAAAGCTTAAATAATTCACCCTTTTATTTTTATTATTTTTGAGAGAATAACTAAAACTGAGTGTTAGAAAGAGCCATCGAGCTATTGACATTGGTGAGCTCCTATGAATTCTTTGAAATTCTATAATGATTAATTAGCAAATCTATAATCTATAATGACAAAATGTAGAGAGAGAAAATTTGAAAGGAGAGAAAATGGCGAGAATCACAATTTCACTGAACTGAAAATCACTTCTATATATATATATATATATATGTTGGGAAAATTGGGTGATTTGTATGTAGATTTATTTAGAAATTAGCATAATCAATTAAATGATATAAATGTAAATTCAACAATAATATAAAACAAGAAGAATGTTAGAAGATCAAGTCTTGGGAGTCACGTCGAGAACGCTGTCCTAAAGTCGTGTTGCCTTCCTTTGGTGCGGGTTCTTTCGACACTATACGGCTCCAAGATAAAATTCATGTGGCTCTCTTTCTATGGATACGACCATGGGGAGATAAAGAACGAATCTTGGATCGAATTGCCAAAATATAAGAATATAGTATAAATTATATAAAATGTTTTCTTCCAAATTATTATATTCTAATCATCCTTTGCAATGAGATGTAACCACCTTTTATAGGTGTAAATCAACTCCCACAATTAAGTCATTAAAATGGTGGTTATAACATGAATTATGATGTTTTAATTGTGTGAAAAATGTTTATTAAATAAATAAAAACTGAAAATTAAATGTGTTAATTGTTGAAAGGTTAAAACTTATTTTTAAGTTACAACAATCCCCCACAAGTTTTAAGCTTTCAAAATAATTAAAATATATAATAGTGGCAACATAATACTGTGCAATATGTGTAGGTGTCTTTTGGACTTGAACCTCACTTAGTGATAACAATTTCTATTTGAGGGAACCATAATGGACTAAGCTTTGAATTAGGTCCCTCTGATCATATTTCAATTATTCCACACATAGTATCGATTTAAGCTCTAGTTTACATAGGGTAGCGCTTTTAATGGCCATGCGCTCTAATCTTGATTCTAATAAGAGTCTCTAGGGAATAGCTCAATCCCATAACTACGGCCTCATGGTAACTCTTATATAGATGAGTCCTCCAAGAGTGTGTGTGACCCGCACCTCGCGAGAATTATCGCCTCGATACTCATTCAGGGTTAAACCCTTCCTAACATTACATTATTATTAGCACTATCACCATAGGGATGATCACAATATAAGTAGTGCTATTACAAATCACGCAGTACAAGTTGTTTCTACCACATTGAACATTCTTCATGTGATCTCTAATCACGAAGGTTGGGTTACTCCCGGAGGTGGCTCCCTTATGGGCTTAAACCCATCCCCTTCAATGATTTATTATATCCATTTTGGACTATAATTTATTTCATGTCCCTCTTGGACAATAATTTGGTGACGTCAATTTACAAGCTTTGTTCTCTTCTTGCATATGTGCACATCTGCATGTTCTTCTAAAACTTTCACAACATATCAATATCATATATTTAAGTATAATAAGGAAAATGCATAAAATTTCTAATATTGACATTTCGTAAAAGGTTTGCACAAATGCATCCAAACTCTTATATTTCACTTGCAATCTTTAGGCTCAATTTGAACACTTTGTTAAAAATGTTAATTATGAATAATCATGGACATAAAGTACATATATCCGAAATTTTTGGTACCCCCACATTCCAATAATATCCTACTTAAATTGAGTAAATATTTTACTATTATAATTTGTATCTGAAAACAACTGATCTATGAATTGTTTCACTTATAAGTGATTATATGCGCTTCATGTAAATCTTCAGATCAATGTATGCTTCATAAAAGTTATCTTATTCATCTAAACGTGAACTCATTGAAAGACACCTCCATATATTTTGTATAAAAAGGAGTGATAAAATTATCTTATACTTAAAACCACAAACTCAAAGAAAGTCTTACAAACTTCCATTACTTAGGCAAATTCTCAATGATGTTCCTATAACTAACCTCAACCATAATTGTTACATATCTGTTAAGAGTTTTAGGGGATGACATTTATCTTTAAAATGATACATGTCACAAGCACTTTCCTCATGATGGGAACTTCTCACCATGTATGCAAATCACAAGATGAACTACTTGACTCATGGATCTCACCTATAATATTTCAACATTGAGTTTAGGTTGTTCCCAGGTGATCATTAAATGTGTGATTTGAAAATACCTCCTTGGACATATTATATGTCCAAACTCCTTTTAAGACTTAAACATGCAGAAATAACAATAATAATTTCATTGTTTTTTATTTTATAATATATACTTATGAATACCAAAATGGAACTTTCTTATAAACTAAAATTTACAACTTTGTAACTCCAAAATTAAAATGGAATAAAACTGAAAATAATTAAATCTGAAATTATTAGAAACATAAAGAAAATTAAAGCTCTTGAAAGTTACAACAATACGTTAGTGATTAGTTATTTCATTTATTAGGATTTAATTTAAACCTTTGAATTCCAAAGTGCTCCTTTAAGCCCAACTTATGAATTTGTTCCCTCCAAATATCATCAACTAAAGCTTGTTGATATCTGAACTCCGATCTGGTATAAACAGTCCGCTAACCCCACCTCAGTTAAACGTAAGTTCGGCCCATACTCCCAGGTCGGAGTTACCCGCCGTTATCTTAGAAAAACATCATAATTACCCCTTGTCACATCACTGTATCAATCAGAGACACTTGCCACAGGTGATGTCATCGTCGCTCGGAATAACCAATTCCAAGTTCTCGAACTCCAGCCCTTACAGGTCATCATTACCTGGGTAATACATTGGCACATGACCACTGGCCTCATTGACCAATCACAGAAGAATTCGGCGACCCGAGTTTCAAGCTCGACATTGTTGCTGATTTGATTAATTTGATATAATTTCGGCTGAAACTATGTATAAATAGTTGAATAGGACCCTTGTAAAGGTAGAGTAAATTCATATAACGACTTATGGCACAATCACACTAAAATGACATCTTTGTGATCTTTTATATGCACAAATCGCCTTTTTTCTTAAAGTTGGTTCAAAATTATCCTTGCTAATTTTGACATCAACAAAGCTCATTAGCAAATAACATGCACTAAAGAAACCAATCGAAACGTCCAGTAAGCTCCTCAATGATAGCATTGGAACATTGATGGATACCAATGTTAGATAGCAATTCTTTATTACTATTAAAAATTGATATATCATGTAGAAATTTCTGTCTTAGTGGATTGCTGACTACAACACTATCGTAAATAATTTATATGAAAAGTCATTTCATATGATACAAATGTAATATGCACATATATGTTAAAGAAAATGCAATATTGTGTGTTTTTTTTTTAATCATTGATTTATACCAAGCTAAAATTGTCTTAATAATGTTCATCAATCCAAAATTGCTAATCAGATCAATAAAGGAAAGAAAACTTATCTGTTGAATTTTGATTCCCTTCGATTTTGCTTTTCATCTTCTCGCTATGGGTTTTACTTCTCCCTTGCCCAAATATTTTGCTTAAAATTGTTAAATCCAGACTCTTACGATAATTCATCTTCAACAAATTAAATGCTTTATTCATGTATCCGTATAAACTAGGTAGAAATTTTGACTAAAATAATCTTTTGTCATTTTGAACAAATAGTGCATCTCAAATATAAAAGCTCAGATTGTCCAAAACTTGCAAAAGAAATTTAACATTATGAAAGAAAAACATGCTGATATTGCTAATTAGGAACATTAACTACAACTAAAGTGCATGTCTTCAAGTCCTACATGGATTGCCAAATGTTGAAAAACATATCTAACTTAGGTTCAAGAACAAGTCTAAAGCCCGTACCATGACGAACAAGTTGACAAAGACTAATCCTATTAGAAGGGCTTTTTATATCTAACAAGATTCAAGTAAGTTAAATAAGTCATAATCTTATATCGAATAATACTATTAAAAGGGTTTTTTTTTTTCCTTTTCTTTTTAACATCTAACAAGATTCAAATAAGTCATAATCTTATATTATGCCTCTTAAACAGAGATTGCACATAAACTAACCACCTTAGTATAGGATATTTGCGAAGATGTTCAATCCCAAAATTGCCAACTTACAGTTTCAAAATCATATCAAACATTCCATGAAGAGTTTATTTACACACAAATCACGAAACACGACTTTAGATTGTTGAGAAAATTGGGTGATTTGTATGTAGATTTATTTTGAAATTAGCATAATTAATTAAATCACATAAACGTAAATTCAACAATAA